AATCTAGCTTGCGCCAGCAGTTGTACACAGAAGCAGTTCCGGATGGATGACGTATGAGTTCAGCGTTGCGCATTCGCCGGTGAGTCTCGTGAAAACCAACGTTTGTTTACAGGATCAAAGGAAGCAAAGTGTCCTTACTTTAGCAAAGGAAAACCAGTCTCTTCTTGGCTTATATCGAAATCCTCCGACATTCTTCTTTACAAATCCTCGTTTTGTACTTCTAATAAGTGACCGGTGTTTTGTTTTGACCTCTCCGCTGCGCTTCCGTGTGCGTCACTTCTGAGCTGCACATGCGCAAAGCTGACCTCATACGTCATCCGCCCGGAACTGCTTCCAGTGTACAACAGTGAGCGCAAGCTAGATTCAAGTGATTATTAAGTTTTGAATATGGATATTTTTGAGACACTTTTTTTTATGGATGGGTGCATTTTAATTAAGTGCTTTTGGACTGATGCATGCAACACCCGCTGAGTGCCATGAAACAGCTTGAAAGATCAAAGACCATTTTTAATGTAACTCCGACTGGATTCGTCTGAAAGAAGAAAGTCATATACACCTAGGATGACTTGAGAGTGAGTAATTTATGGGCTAATTTTCATTTTTGGGTGAACTAACCTTTTAATTCTTAAAGTCTTTACGTCAAGCACTCAAGAAATATATGGTAATACATGCTTTGTGGCAGGGCAAACAGTCAATGCCAGGATACTCCTCCAAGTCACCGGTCTTCACATTGAAACAGGAACCATGCCAGGGACAGCGGACCCTGTGACCTGACAGCACCCCTGCAGAGGAACCGCAAACACACTGTAATACTACAAGCTCACAAGACTTTTCATGTTATTTATCTAAGAAGATGGAAGCCAGTAGCATGCACCAAACTCGATTTCTATTGCTAAAACAGATTGGTAATGAGCTACCTTTGCTCAGTGGAGCACCATAGTGTGTGCACTGGTTACTGATGGCACTGTACACCCCATCACAGCGTACCAGCAGAACATTGTGGTCACCGACCTCCACCTCCATCATTCTAGATCACAAGATCAACACACATGCAGACATCTTCAGTTTTACAGTGTGAGTGTCCTTCAACAGCTTTATATGTACAAAGTGGCCACACTTTAGTTTGGGGACAAATTCTCACAATTAACTAACTATTAACGTCAAATTTGCCTCAGTAAACTCCTATTTTGCTGTTTATTAATAGTTTGTAAGGTAGTTTTAGGTATGGGGTAGGATTCGGGGGTGGTCGTGCAGAATAAGGCATTAATATATGAAGAGTTCATTTGCAAAAACCGATAAACGCCACTTAAAAAAAAAAAACATGAGCTGATTGCCGTGCATTATTCTCCACATATAGCGCGATCTGAACCCTAAACACGTTTAGTCAAAAAAGCCGGTTTTGTCCACTTTCAAGGCATCGCGAGTTCATGTTTTACTGCAGAAGCCGAATTCAATGAACTTTAATATTGTAAATTACCTGTAATTGTTTAAGTTATTATTACTTAATCAAAACAACCCAACTGCAATTTGATTGATATTACTTGGAATGCGCAATAAAAAAAAACTAGATTTATCGGTTATTGAGTTATCGGTTTTTGCAAATGAACTCTTCATATGCTTTATAAGTATTAATAAACAGCCAGTATGCTAGCAATATGCATGCTAATAAACAACTAGTCAATAGTGAGAATTGGTCCCTAAATTAAATTGTCACTATATAAAACATACAGTATGACTTTGAAGAAATTTACAGCTTTAAAAACAAAAGATCAAAACTGTTTAAAACATGATGCAACTATCTGTAATCCAGTTTCCATATGCAAATAAATAAAAACAATTCTAATTGATTTTTGAATTATTCTTTTGTGGGTTTTCATTGATAACATCTTAAGATCTTCCATAAATAAATATGTATATTAAAAATATAATACATATTAAAAATGAAAATGACAATCATTTATGTGGAACCTACTCTCCATCTTTGAGTTCTGCCTCGTCACATACGACATCTGTCACCTCTTCCTCTGGCTCCAAACCAGCCACTAAACCTATAACCATAACAGCCCGGATAAAATAATAAATGACATCACTCATAGCAAGAAAAATGCCATGGAGAAAAACATAATATCACAATGATTTCAACACCATATAATGAATTACATAATCAAATGTTAACTAAGTCAACAGCATAACCGCACTGTCAGAGCAGTGAACTAAGAATACTCCATTAAACAAACAAAATCAATAAATGTTTTTATTAATGCATTTACAGTTTATAGTATTTTTTTTAGTGCTGGGCAACAATTAATCGCGATTAATCTCATCCAAAATAAAAGTTTTTGTGTACATAGTATAAGTGTGTGTACTATGTATAAATACACACACATACAGTATATATTTAAGACAAATATGTTATGTTTATATATTACATATATTTATATATAATATAAATTATATGAATATAAATATATACATGTAAATATTTTCAAGATATATACTGTATGTGTATGCCTTTATATATACAAAATAAATATACACAGTTCACACACATGTATTATATAAACAAAACCTTTTATTTTAGATGTGATTAATTGTTGCCCAGCACTAATTCTTTTATTGTAGAAAACAACAAGAGAAAATAATAATATAACAAATGATTGGATGCTTACCTGATTGGACCTCAGACATCACAAGTTGATCAGTAAGAGAGGATTTTCTCCAGTAAATGTTTTTGAAAAACTATCCTTTCTGCTGTCATACAATCAAACTCTCGGGACGGCTGTCATGACCGTAATGAGCAGTTCACAAGTCCCTAATCCAGGAGACCAGATCTGACCTTTAGGCATTTCATCATTCGGATGCTCAGACTCACTCATGAATTTGGTTACTCCAAAAAAAAAAAAGGGGGGGCCAAATTTAGTGTTTTGGGGTGGGGAAAAAAGGAAATTGAGTTTCCAAAAGCCATTGAGATTGCGTAAAGTGTAAAGAGGCCATTTAGTTGAAGCACAATGCCATTTGTTGTGGTATATAACAACAGAAGAGAGAACGGCTGAGCAAGCAGCACGCAACAGTAGACGTGTGCACAGGGCAAAGTGCGTGACTCTGCACCTCTCTCTAAAACACTGACACTCCTGTTCATATGCTCCTTTCAAGATACAATTGATCTAAACTGACCTTAAAGAGTCTTTACTGACATAAAGAATTTACTGTAAATAATACAGTAGGTTATACTATACACTATTCTATACTTTACAAAATGTATACTGATTACAGATTACATGATAAAAAACTGTAGTAACGTAATCTAGGTTACTCATTTTATGTAATGTATTCCGACTACTTTTTAGATTACTTTTAGTCTAACTTGTTTTAAACTCACCATTAAATGAGTCATATTGATATAAAAAAAGCAAAGAGAAAGAAAATATATTCCATGTTTTGATATGGTATATAGTTTATTTATAAGTATTTTATCTTTTTATAACTATTTAGCATTAAACATTGATCAACAAATGACATTATTTCTGATGTATACAGAGTATACAGTGAAATTCTTACTGCTTCCCCTAAATAATTATAGCAGCAAATTTACAGACAGGAGAGAAAAGATCTTGATATAAGAGAAGCAGAAACAGAACATCTAGCTAAAATTAAAGTGTTGTTTTCAAAATGACATAACTCCTCACAGAATAATGTTTTAAACTGCTAAACATCTCTAATACACAATAATATTTCCAAAAAAGGATATATTAAATTAAAAAAAGAAAAGGAATTGTTTCTACAAACACACTTAGACCTCAAATCACAACCTTGCTGGCAAACTGGGACACTTTTATATTTTATTTCATAGTTGGTTCCACAACATCAATCTTTCTATATACATAATTGTTACAAAAGATTTATATTTTGAATAAATGATGTTCCTTATTGACTTAAATGCCGTTCTTTTTGAAGTATATTAAAATAGAAAAGTGTTATTTTAAATTGTACTCATTTTTAACAATATTACTGTTTTTACTGTACTTTTGATCAAATAAATGCCTTGATGAGCACTGAAGAGACTTCTAAAAAAACATTAAAAATATTACTTATCCCAAAGTTTTGAACGTACATGGAGGTAGTGTACATTTTTTTCATAATTATATTGTTACCATCTCAAAACTATTTTTTTATATATTGCAAGAATAAAGCATCTTCATTTTTATAACGGTAAATGTAATTGATTTAAGACTGAACACATTTTCTAAATTTGTAGTTTTTTTATTTTTAATTCTTACATTTTTTCTTTTTTTTTAAATAACCTTTTTATTTTCATATTGTTGTTTCTGTATTTGTTCTTCTGAAAGGCGTCTTGTTCACTAGCTGGATAAATCAAGTGGACCAATGTTTGTTTAAACTTAGTATTTTTGATTTAGTTATGCAGAGAGGGCAACTTAAGGACATTTGGTTCGTTTCTAGATGGTTCTGATGAGGGTGCAGAAACCATTGTGAACCATCCAGAAACTAACCAAAGGAGCACCAAGTAAAAGAACAGAAAAAAAGGGAAAACAACTGGCAAAAAGCATTGATGTTTTGGCACCAAAATTTGATTGCTGACTCTGTAAATAGCCAACTGATTCTTAAATGAGTTTAGGTGAAAAGACAGTGAAATAAAACGAATAAAAAGACAGCAAAAGCAAATAAGCATCACAATGTCACTACTCGGAAAACTTGTCTGATCAGCACCCAAAAGAAGTCAGACAAAAATATAACTCTAAGCATAATGGCAGTCTGTCAGAAAAGGTTATATTTTAAATAGAATTTCTCTTTGCATTAAGAATCAACATGTATATGAATCTAAACAAAATATGAAATAAAATGCAAATAAATCTACAGTTGCATAAACCACAATTTTCCATCTATTTTTGTGATCTCTCATTTAACATATGCTCTTGCCATTCTACAATGGATAAAAAAGTTAGAATGTAATAATTTCAGGATTTTAGCGACCCTGTCATGAACTGTTTTCCTCTTAAGCAACCTTTTGTATTCTCCAGTTGACACAGTATTTCATTTGTTTTCTAGTTTTAGTTGTTTTGTTTAAATCTGTTGTACTATATCAGACAAAGAATCATTTGAGTTACATAAAGCTAAATAGTGGTCTATATATAATGAAAAAACATAATTACATAAAAACAAACATGTTTTAATTTGTCACAAAAAATCAGGCACAACACCAGATTCATGGAGCCAGATTGAAATAAACCCTAATTAAGGTCTTTGACCTTTCTGTAGTCAGTTCTAATGATGATCATGAGAAGCCATCATTTTTTCAGGCTGTTTGCTCTTTATCTGTGCTTATGCTACATGCGTCAATGTAACTCTTCTCCTGATTTTGTCTTCAGACATCAAAGTTTTTGTTGACCAAAATGGAACATGCACAAGTTTAGTTTTTCAAAAAATTTAAACTGAGAAAAATATTTTGCAGCCATGAAAAACCATTTACTGATAAGCTTAAGCAATGTCCCACTAGAGGGCAGAATTAAACTTACTTAGGGCTGCTGGATGACTGAAAATGAAAAATAATTAAATAAAAAATGCTTAGGCTTGTAAACATCAAGCTGCAGTTATGCACTTTTGCCATAAAATATCTTAAAAGCATGTCATTTTGAGGTAAGACATCCTGGATCAACTAAAAAGGCAACTTATTCTGCTATCCAAAAATAACTTATTATCTATGTCTCTTAATATTTTATAACATCTGCAGCATACACAGTTAAATCATTTAGGCAAAATATTATAATAAAAATTACAGAGATAACAGCTATATAGCCTAATAAAATATACCTTTTTTTAAATGCTAGCAAAATGTTGTCATTAACATTTTTTTTACTGCCTGCATAAAATATGGCCTGTATGAAAATTATTTTGAAACTCTCTGACTACAACACTGAGAGTCTATGCTATACAGTTGAGTGCAAAAGGTTCCATCATTCCCCTCACAAATTCCCTTAAGTGGTACTGTAACAAAAACCTTTTTGTTTTATTAAGTCCTGCTATCTGACATAACATAACATTTCACAAGACAAAATAATTACAAAATTTTGATGAACTGGCCTTTTTATTCAATCTTGAATATAAGTTTACATTCCCTTGGTTCTTATGATGGTCAGTGTAAAGCTTTATTGATGATAATCAGTAACTGTTTGCATGTTTTGTTAAAGTTATTCATGAGGTTTTTGACTCGCCACCACACACACACACACATATATATATATATATATGTGTGTGTGTGTGTGTTTCATTGAATATGTGCTTTGTAAGCTAACACACTGTTTTATATTCCTTATTATTGTGTGTGTGTGTGTGTGTGTGTGTGTGTGTGTGTATAGAAGGCATTAACAGTGATTAACAATTACAAATCTAAATGGGGGCCAGGACTGGATGGGGTGCTATAAACAATTCAAGCTCATTTGATTAAGTGGAGAGAAAACACTCCCTAGAGTGTGAATGTCCTCACTCTTTTTGAATGTCTCGCACTTATGAGAATTATATGGCTATATATAAGATTTCTGCTAGTGACGTCATACAGAGTTATAAAGAATGTGTTTGGAATATAGCCTTTGATCCTAATTATATCATGCTGCCATCTCAATGAAAGTGACTGCATTAATTTGTTGTAATGATATCAGCTGCAGGAATCATATAAAGCTCGAGTCTCTACAGGACTCCAAAATTAAAACTTGTGATGAAAATGATGAAATAACTTCAACTTAACAGAAGCTACTTATAAACAGATCACAGAAGAATCACACACACCATTTGTGTTGAGTTAGTGACATTAATAAATGTGTGTGTTCAGTAGCTAACAAACTGCTAATGGAGGGCTGCTGGGATGGCTTGTTTTTTTGTTTTGTTTCGTTTTTTTGTTGAGGGAACAGGGGTGATGCTAACTTCCAGCTTGGCCAGCAAAAATATATAGCCTAATCAGTTTTTATATAAATAGGGATCCATGTGCACTTAATCTTTAATGTATGTATTTCCACAACTCCTGCCCAGTATATAACGTTACATATATAATAAACATGTTGTAGATTTTTTGAGTATTAATAATTTAATCACGCTCACTGCGCTATAAATCACACAAAACGTAAGGACTTCTTCTCACTGACTTCTGTCAACTTCATTGGCTAAATAAACGAGATGTTGGGATGGATATGGCAGATGGTTAATTAACCCTTTCGTGTCCCTGACGCACTGCTTTGGTGGCGATGCTTTGCAGTTTGCACTGGAGGTGTCCTGCATCATTCATCTGTTCAATCAAATCGTAAGTAGCATTACAAAGCGTCATGTATCACCAGCATGTTTATTGGGATTGCTGACCTTGAGACGCGGTGCGGTGATTTCAAGACATCTTAATAATAATGGAGGTGTAGTTTAAAGAAATAGTCAAGATTGTCAGCGCTGTAAGGATACAAATGAACCGTTACGATATTATTTTCATACGTTTCAGCAGAATCAGCTGTCAATAATCAGTGTATCGTATACACTTAGTTAATCCATCATTTGTTGACATATTCCATGGATCAGTGCGTGAAGGTTGATGGGTGGGTAGTTATTGTTGAAATCGCCGTGAAAACGGCATAAACATAGTAAAGGATGAATTAAGTAATCGACATGAGGATTATGTGCTTTGTATGAAGAAAACACCTTGGTTTGTCAATATATATTCGCCTTAAAGACGATAGATTGCGATGTTTACATGCTCCTGTCGCCGTTACGCATTTCCTGGGTCTGAATGTCCCGGATGTATAGATGACATAATGCTGATTTAACCTGAATCTGCTGATGCTGAAGTTGTAACAAAAGAGGCATTCATAGTGAGCCATTTGAAATATTGTTAGTGAAGCATAAAGTGGCCACAAAAAAAAATCTTAAAATGTATAAAAATGTATGTCTTTTGCACTAAAACAAAATAGCCTATAAAACCAAGTGGCATTGCAACAGTCAGGCTCTGGAAGTAAAATTCCCATTAATTTTCTCCATAGGGGAACTGATATTGAAGACAGGCCTAATGTGAGCTACAAGGTCGTTAATCGATGCTATTGTTGAAGCCATCAGCCTGCATTATATCAATTTATTTTCTAAATAAATGTGTTCAACATTGAAGTCCCTGGTGAAAAACTGCTTTACTCGTGATTCTGCAGATCAGAGAAAAAAATGTGGGTGAATTCAAGATCTAGTGATCACAAACGGAAATCACTTCATTGAAGTGACCATCGCATGTTCCCTTTGCTAACGGACTTCTGGAAGGGCCCTTCGTAAAGGGATTCAGTTGTCCACTTTCGTTTGGAACGTCCCTATAAATGCCATTCCTTCCCAAGGGCGCAAAAAAAGCTATTTGGAATTCACCCTTAGAGTTAAATGAAGCACTGCAAATGACATGGACTTTGTTTTCTATGCTCTCAAATTGCTTAAATATGTGTTGTAATTTTATATTTCTCCATCATTTTTAATTCAGTTGTGTTATTAGCACTGCTTATTGTAGGAACTGATTGTTTTTACCTTCATAAGGGCATGTTTTATAATTACCTCAATAAATGTATCTGTGTTGATTTTTATGTCAAATACTTAAATTTAACCAGTTACTTCAAAAAAAACCTTTGGGAAATATGAATGTGAAAAATGCTTCTGGAACCAAGGCCGCTGAAAAGGTGGGCAAACACAAGAAAAAATATAGGCTGGGGCTTGATTTTTGATGCATCTCCTCGCTATCTCTAGCTCACATCAGACTGGTTGGAGGGGAATGGTTAATGGAAATTAGTGTGCTTCAACCGTTAATGAATTGTTAGGCCTAAGTAAAGAAAGTGTTTACTTTGTATTGACATACTAACCATTTTAACTTTATTGTAAACAGGTGCTGTAACCCGCCAACATCCAGGAGCCTTCCATGGATAGATCCACACTTACCCAACAGGTGGAGAGCGTTGAGCGTAATGTAGCATTTTTGCAGCAGGAACACCGGATCCTCCTTAGCGGTCTACGGCTAGAGATCCGCAACCTGAAGAAACGATGCAATGGTCTGTCACTCATCCTCATTCCATAGATTCTCCATTCTGAACTCAAATATAGAAATACCTAATACAGGACTTTGCACTTAATTAACTATGATTTCATATAAGAAAGCAAAGTTTTGTCAATGAAACAGTCTATATTAAGTCAAAATAAGTCAAAAAAAATTTGAAGAAACATATTTTTCAGCGCAGTCAAAGCTAATATATATTACTAAAATATGTTGAAATATTATCTTGAACATTTTTAGTGCAATGACAATATAAAAGCCAATTATTTAATTTTGGGAACAGTTGTTTTTTTGGGTATTTTTGTACATAGAAAATATATAGCTGCATTTATATATTATAGGAAGGGGTCCCTCGCAACAGGATTGTCACATTTGGGGGTCCTTAGCATCAGAAACCCTTTGCCTAAAAGATACTTTCATGGCACTCTCATGTCTGTTAACTCCTCTCTGTGTGTATATCATTACAGAGCTGAGTTGTGAACTAAGTGAAAGACCACCAGTAAGAAGCCGAGAAGGTGAGTATCAGATATCACAAGATTCCAGTCATTCCCACATGTTCCCTCAACTACATGTTTTTACAGATATCGAACTGGAGGAAGAGCTTCTGCAGGCACAATTACTAGAGACAGAGCAGCATCTGGCTGAGCAGGAAAGCACGCTGGTGGAGCTGCGGGCGGAGCTACGGAAAAAGGGGGCACTTGCGAGCGCACTGCAGGTTCGACTTCGAGATGAAGAGCGGCGATTCCTAGAAGAGCTAAAACGACGCAGTCATAAGATTACAACGCTGAGTCGCGACCTCCGCAAGCAGACTGACCTGGCCGCTCAGCTCTCCTTCCAACTGCATTCAGCACAATTTCGATTGTATCACCAGGCAGAAGACTACGAGGAAGAGGATGAAGAAGAAGAGGATGAAGGAGGCACCATGCAGGTAGGAGGCACTACTGCTGGATTTACTCATAATCTGAGGCATGAATCAGTCTTATTCTTTTACCTTTACACAGGAATCAGAATGGACTGCAAAATCTCCAGTAACGGCGGAAAGTCCACGTCAAAGCCGAGCTTCAGGAAGGGTGCGGAGATCAGAAAGAGTGAGGGAATGCGTGCCCCGCGAAAGGGTGCTTGGGCCCCAAGAGGCGCGCCCCATGCCTGACCCCGCCCTTTTCCTTTATCCTTTCAGACATAGGCTCCTCCCCTTGCACAGGTCACTTGGAGGTCACTGGAGAGAAGGTGGCCTTTCAAGGATGCCAGAAGCTCGAATAGGTAGATTCAGAGAACGACCACTGAGGGAGGACATTGGACCAGAGACAACTGAGTTATAAAGGGCAACAGTGCCCTTTATTCAATGGCCTTGGTTCTGGAGGGATTTTTCCAATTCATTTTTCCTATAGAGTTTTTTTAAAGGTGCTGTATGCAATTTTTTTCACTGTACTAAAGCGTAAAAATACCATAATATGTTTGCAGGTATGCAGGAAACACGCTAAGTTCACATACTTGTTCCTCCAAAAAACAAAGCTACAGCCAGTTATTCTGCTTTGAAATGTGTGTTCCGTGTCAGAATGTCTGTTTTTGTTTTGGTCTGTGTGATTCCGCCCACTGCTAATTTACCCAATAGTATTTAGACACACTGGGTTGCCAGTTAGCGGAAAACTTAGCAGTATTGCAGCCATGGAAGCGAGCAAACAAACTGGGTCAGAGATCACAGATTCTACCCGACCTAAAAAGCCTTGGCATCCAAGCTCTATGAACAGAGGCTTATTAAAACATAGATAACTCAACTCATCAATTTACAGTTTAAGGCTCGTTTCCCTCCATTATCAATTGTGCTCATTCCTGTTTCGTGTCCTCAATCTGGCAACCTGCAATCTTTTGAATTTGGACCGCAGTACCCATGTCAACTGCTAGCTGTCAATATCACATACTGCACCTTTAAAAAGTCTTTGTTTAAGAGATATGATAAGCCATGAGCCAAACCAACCAACTTTGAGGTGAATCACAAACATTACGAAATTTGATTTTAAGCAAAGAAAGTGTTTGAAAATCAGATAAACACATGATACAAAAGTGAAAGAAATGAATTCTCATGAGGCATTGCAAATGTCATAATCAAAATGAAAAATTATGTAGAAAACTCACTCTGCATCATTCACAGTACTTCTTGGGAGTGGGCTTGTCGCAATTCTCTGATTGGTGGACTCTGATTCTCTAAATGTTGACTCATGGGTAATGTAGTTTTTCACCAGGAATTCAGGAAATCTGAAATTATAAATTATAATTATAAAACAAGTTTAAATAATGTGGGCTGATGGCTTCAACAAAAACATATACCATCGATTAGCAACCTCATAGCTTAAAGTAGGTCTGTCTTTAAAGGTTTTTATGTTATTGTTGAAAATCCATTGCCCTATGGAGAAAGTGAATGGGATTTTGACTTCCAGAACCTGATTGTTGCATTCTAGAAACTTCCTGGCTTGAATGATTCAAAGTTGTAAGGAAAGTTACAGAGTAACTCTGAGTTACAAAGCACCTGAAACCTACATAGTGATGTCCCTTTTTGAAATGTGTCTTCTTCGTAGAATCCAGAACACTCTATAAACGAGTTTTCACTTTCCATGCAGTCATCATTTGTGTCAATGAAGTGAATTATTCTTATCACATTAGACACACTTTAGAAGAACAGGGAGGGCAGATGCAGGCTAACAGGTGTATTATATTGCTTTTGTGTTTTTGGTCTCTCTATCTCTATTGGAAAAGAGCTTTATGATGTATTGAATATATATGAAGTGAAACATGGTTTATTTATTAAATACTACAAAAATTGTTTGTATTTGTTGTTCTTGTTCTGTTTATTTACATATTTATTATAATTATAAAGTTCCCTGAATGTATGTTCACTGATTTTTGAGGACTGGGACAAAAAAGGCTACAAAAATGAAAATGAAAAAAATAAATACACAGTATAAATGTATCAATGAGTCTTGAATTTCAATGAATCAATGAATATTTATAAAAGTTTTGTTTCACTTTTGTTTCTTTATGAAGTTTGACATGCTGAATATGAAAATCACATTACTTTCTGTGGATCATTAACAGTTCATATATATATATATATACACGTGTGTGTGTGTGTGTGTGTGTTGACAACTTGTACAAGCTAATCTGTTATTACTCATGCAAGAAAATTACATAGTACATGCATAATACTGAGATAACAAATTAGCAAACAGTTACCAGAAATGAATCCAAAACGTCAGAAGTGTACGTTGGATGCTTTTCGTCTTTTATGACTGGTCCCAAAATGTTCTAGAATGTTCCAGAAAGCACTAGAATAAAAAAAAATTGTTAAAGAAACTTCTAGAATGTTCTGATCATGGCAAAAGCAAAATATCTTTTAAAATTAGTAAAAACAAAAATGTCTGTTCTAAACCAATGTTTCATAATAGTAGAAGTTCTAAAACTTACCTGACCAAATTATTTACCAAAAATCTATTACATTCATACATGTATCAAATGCAGCAGCCATTTTGCTTTTTATGGGGCTGTATTACAGAAACCTCAGTCTTAATTCTTGACTTAAGATTTTAAGAATTTAGTGAATTTGGTTACTAAACAGATAACAGGATAAGAAATACTTACAATTGGCCATTATATAAAATTCCCAAACATGTTTACAGGTTTTACAGAATTGACACATCAAGGTTAGATTGTATAAACATAATTAGCCTACTCTAAATTATAAAAATGTATCAAACTCAACAGAGTCCTGTGTGATGTTATAGCGCTGGGTGGAAGGAGGGCCTTAGTAGGCTATGAAAGACTGACTGTGATATTGCCTGATAGAATTTTATATAGTTTAGTAATACTGTTTCTTTTAAAGAAACATGGTATAATATATTTTTGATCAAATAAAGGGGAAAAGTGACAAACATTCTAATCAAATGTATCTATTTCAAAACTAAAAACCGCTAAACCTGTGGCCGAGTCTCTATTTTGTAAGTTTTGCATAGACATTAAAGGACAATTCAACTATATTTCTTGTGTATAATTCAAAATACTGCAATATCAGTCACCTAACGAACGAGCTTAACGACCTCGAGCATATTAAGATAAAATATACTTTTTCGTTCTTTGGAATTTACATGTTAATACGTATATATTTATTTTGGTTCCTATAAAATTAAAACATATTATTAATTCCATAAGATATCTATAATAAACGGCCGTGTATATCGTATTGTCATTCGAATCGGAAAAGGACAGATTAGCGACAGTTAGTAGCATACGCGCATGCGCAGCGAGTAAAGGTGAGATTCTAACGCAAAAAAGGTTGCGTGGGAGAAGACAAACAAGTAGAAGATCGATAAGCGTACAACAAAAACAATGCGTACTACTTCTGCTCGTTTAGTATTCTTAAGGTTCTCTGTTCCTTCCACTTCTCCGACTATTGTAGCTTTTCCAAACAGGTCCTGCACATTCCGCCGGTGCTGCAGCACTATGTCATAGCGACCGCTCGAGCCAGCAGCTGATTTGGACAGCAGAGCAATGCACTCCACAAGCGCGCAGATCATATAGAAGACTCCTGAACGAATGTGTGATCTGGCATGGATTCAAGAAGGCATGTCATGTGCTTTTTTGTTCAGTGAAACTGAAGAAATGAGTAGCGATTTCTCTGGAAGAGGAATGGGATGCGGGGAACTCCACCGCGACGCCTCCCTCCGGGAATAGAAAATGTGGGGGGGGAGATGGAGGGGTTCATGAGACACAGGAGGAAGGGCAGAGGAAAAGACACTATAGAATTGTGTTGCGTTTTATGGAGAGAGGGACACCTCTGCTTGGGACAAGCTATTCTGCTTACCTGTGATTCTATAGAGATTTATGGGGCAGATGGACAGCGGGCACATTTATGAAGGAATATAACTGTGAGAAGATGCTTGCATGTTTATTATTACTTATTAATCCATTAGTTTCAGTTACATAGTAAAAAAAATGTGTATTTTTAAATCAGCCATTTTATTTTAATTTATGCAATGTTTCTGATCTTCTGCTGTTAACTTTTTTTTAGGTACAAAACATTTATAGGAGATACTATCACCCGGTCAGTCAATTCATCTATGCATAAATCATCCTTTCGGTAATTTCTGGCATGCAAAAAAAATTGAATGTCTTTACTGTATTTGCTGTCTAGAACATGTTTAAGCTATTGCAGAGTTGCCAGATGCCAGACTTGGTAATTGGGTATGTCAACTGTCTGTCAGGCTTGTCTTAAAGATTTACCAACAAAGCAAGCTTTTTCTAGCAGCCAAGGTCATTTTAAAACCAAATGAGCTCTTATTAGCTGACTCACAGCTTCTTGGGCTAAAAGAAAATTACAGTTCTTTTGCTCTTGTGTAAACAAACGGACAATATGGGGAACATACTTTACTGTTGCCGTAAGGTGTCCGAGTTTGTTAATGCCAAGGGAGTTGAGGAACAGTCTCTGCTGCTATCCCGGGAGAATAGTGATATAGAAAGTCTTTCTCCTTCAAGAAGCTCAGCTGACCTACTGGCCTCTCCTGTTCTGGACCAAGATCATCTCCTGTTCCCAGACATCATACTTAGCAGCAACCTTCGCGTCAGACGGGACTCGATTCAGCCTTTGGAGCTCTTGTTGGCAACGAGGGGGGAAGCACAAGATGTCAGAAGGGACGAAGGAGTTTATGAAAGCAATCTACGAAATGGAGGAGAGAGAAATAGAGAGCTGGTGGGGCTGTCAAGCACAAACATTACAGGCATAAATCACTTATGCTCTGCAGAGGATGAATGGCCCCTTCTGTCGTCCCTGCACCAGATACCTGCTGCTCAAAACCGAATATGCACTCATGGACTGGAAGCAGACACTTGTAAATCTCATGGGATGGGACTATTTGCAGATATTACGGTAAGTCAAAATTCATTTTCTGGTCATGTTAGCATTCCTGTGCTTGCTGCATCTTCACTGGATGCCTCACAAAGTGACATTGACGTCAGTCAGAGAGAAGACGGTTGGACTCAAACAGAGCAGTTCATTGAACGTGAAGAACCTAAGGAGCAATTAAGAGTAAATGTAATACACACCGAAAAGAAACGGGTCAAGAAACTACTGAATGAACCAAACAGTGCAGCACAAACACCTCTTGATGCGATGAAGATGCAACCTGCGTACGGCATTACAAGTGAATGTCCTTTGCTTCAGAAGACGCAAAGGGAAGCACAAACCTTGGAACTCCTAGCACAACCAGATGACTTTGAAGACTCGCAAAGACCAGACCCAGAGCAAAATGCACAGAAGTATGAGACACTAGAGATGGAAATTATAAAGAGAGAGCATGCTAATGAGAATGCTACTACAACTGCAGAGCTTCTTCTTTGTATGGAGAAGAACATTTCTCATGTAGAGCAACCAGACATTACAGACATGAGCTCTGGGCTGATGGAGCATGAGTTAGGGGAGATTGAGC